TTTCTTCTCTGTGTTAAAGAGCTGTGAAAACTCCGGTATCTCTGAGACCCGGTCTGAGGTGATTCAAGCCCCCCCGAGGGAGGAGGGGGGGGGTTAGGTAAGTGTATTTCCCTTATTACTAAAAATTCTTTTTCTTCTTTTAAAAAGAAACAGGGAAGGTAACTTGGATATCAGGGGAAAGAACTATAACTAAACTAGGGAGAAAAAGGTAGTCAGAGAGTCTGACAGGGAGCTCCTGTTTGCTCCGTCCACAGGCGAGGGCGGTTGAAGAGGAACTGAAAGGGAGGGGGATGAGTCACACTCCTCAGGAGGCGGCAAGGGCTCGAGACGCCTCCTGGGCATGCGTGACTCAACAGGGGAAACTGCTATAGAAAGCTCCGATCTGAGGCTCAGGGCGACCCTTCACCTACAGTGGAGCACCCACGGGGACACTACTCGAAGAAGAACTTGAAGCTTTTTAAAAGCATCAGAAATTGTCCTTGTCCATGTTACCATCTAAAGACGTGCTTCCCACACACCGTCCCCTAAAACAGAGTTTCCAAGTTACACAATAGACACTGGATGACTAACACCTGCTTAGTGAGACAGCCAAAGAACAAAAACATTGTCTCTTTCAGTTTCCTATTTATTGATGCCATATTCTATTCCTCCATTTCCACAAACAGAAAACAAGTTAACAGGAGGCAAAACAATTTTCAGATACGAGAAAGTGAGAGACAAACAGAGACAGAGAGGGCGCATCTACACAGCACCCGAAACTTGAAATAAGATACACAGTTTGCACTATGCAATTGCATATCTTATTTTGATTCATTTTGAAATAATGCACTATTTTGAGATATCCCTTAACGCCCATCATTACAGGGATGCCAAAATAGCATGCCTGTTATTTAAAAAAAAATATTTCAAAATAATAGGCTTGTTAAGATGCAGGGTAGTTATTTCGGGATACCTCTGGTATCCTAAAATAACTGTGCAGTGTAAACGTACCCAGAGAGAGACAACTGCCATTTAAAGAAACAGAACAGTTACAAACACCTGAAAATTGGCACAGGTAATACTTTACCATATGGTATTATAGGTATGCTTTGATTTTCTAATGTCAATCAGCAAATGCAAATTCCTGACACTTCCTAGTGCAACAATAGGTACTTCACTCAAGCACGAGTGAAATGAGTGCACATACTGAAAGCTTTCAGGAATGATCATGCCGGTAGAAAGAATAGTTAAAACAGACTGCAAACAAGGGGAAATAAGTGAATGAGGGACAATCACCCCATTAAGTTGTATTGCACATTGAAAGGACTTTCCTTGTAACATTTAATCAGGATTCCTTAAGAGATATTTAAATGGCTTACCAAGTATGAAGGTTCCTTTTCAATACATCAGTCCCTTACACAGGAAACCTCATGTGAACATTAATGGAGAGCACACAATATGAATACATTAGTTGTGTGCCCTGCTTATTTAAGAGGGAATCCAATGAAGTGATATTGCACTGTTCTCCCATTTAGGAAAAGCAGGTTGAGAATCCGGACCACAGGGAATGTAAACCAAATTGCCTCAAGAGGCAATGCTTTTGACTCCAAACCTGCTAAAAGGATATTTTCTATTTTAAACTCGTTTCTTGCACAAGGCCCTCAAAATTTCACATCTCAAAATTCTAGCCCCTACCAAAAATATTTATCAAGTGGACTGAGAGCAAGTAAATTTGATAATCTCCACCAACACTAATTTAATGAATCAGTACAGGTTCAACCTCTCAAATCCAAGACTCTCTTGTTTGGCAACATCAATGGTCCGACAGCAGCGGGGCTGGCAGAGGCCGGATTCCCAGCTGTGCTGGCAGCATGTAACCAAGTCACCTATCCATAAAAGGCCTCTGAAAGCAGTGAAGATACCATCTACCACTGTATTATTCACTTTTTTAAACTTTACACCAAGTCTTTATTATCCTGAAAGGAGCCATCTTATTTCAATAGTGTTCTGCTCAATACAGTGTAAAGTTTAAAGACGAGTGCCTGATTTATCTTTTAGCATTTCTCCCAGAGAAAACAAGTTTTATATGCCTTCATTAAATTAAGTTGTAGCCATTTTCTGCAGTGAAATGGATTAAATTAAGACAACGATGATGAGAAAATTCAATAAGGAATTAAGTGCATTTATAATCCACATGTCCTCCTCCAAACTGCTGTAAAACAGCAGGGAAGTTCTTCATTGCTGGACTGCTGTTGATCACAATGTGCCTTCAAGTTCAACAATCTTCTCCGGGGATAGATCAGGTGATGCTCAGCGTGTACCTGCTCTTCTACACATACTCCTCTTCTAAACTGCCCTCTAAGGAAGTTTGATTCTTTGAGGTGAATGCCAGATTTTTGTTGCATAAACTTGACATTTTTAGAATTATCTTCACAGTTGATTCATAGATTGTCCACTTTTGTCTCAAGAAACAGCACAGACTCTTACTACACTGCAGTACCACACCACCTATGTATTAGATATGGCCTGCTATAGCTGACCTGCAAGCAGCAGCATCTTGTGCGGATGTCAGAGCAAGTGCACACCAGACTAAATCTGACACACAAACACGTTTCCTGGAAAGTAAGTTATAATAGGCCTGTAATTTGTCTTAATTCCAGTTCGCCCAACAGACAATACTAATATTTTCTGAAGTTTGCTAAATTTAGTATTTTACCTGTTGTAGATTTTCTGGATACACATATTTCAATATAATGCAATAACAAAGCTGTGATATTTCAATATAAAATAATGATGATTAGAGAAACAGATATCAACTACATTATGTAAATTAAAAATCCAGCCACCAAAATAAAAGAGTTTTCCAGCTCAAAAATGATTTGCATTATATCTCTGCAATGAAATCTAATTCTGAGCAGCATAGCTGGATACCTGAAAAATCAAACTGTTATTCAATGATTGATGTGTGTTTTTCCTGTAGGGTCTTCTTGGGCAAGATTCTTTAAATTATTCTGAAAATCAAAAGTGAAGTTCTCACCAGTTGCTTGAGCAAATGGTTTGCTGAAGAAGTAGTCTGCGTCCAGCACAGCTGCACTTTCCGAATCCCAGGCATCTGTATCTGTACTGCTAGAGTCTTCTGTAGTGGTAGGTGGATAGCTCAGCTGCTCCAGCTGGTCAGTGATGTCACTGAACTGAAAGGCTGAGCTGGATTCAGAGCGAACTGAGTAGGCTGGGAAGTTCACCATAGAACTAGCTTCGGAATGGTTTGCAGAGCTATATGTGTGAAAAGAGGATGTACCATTCAATGGCAAATTATTGAGGGAACTGCTTTCAGAACGGTTGTTGATGAGTGAACTGGTTTCAGAAGGACTCAAGAGGCTTTGCATTCTGCTTGCTTGTGCTTTAACCTCAAACAATTCTGAAGTATCTGATGGTCTCTCATTGCCATTGAAATCACTCCCTTCTTCAAATTCAAACTCATCTTCCACGTTCATATCTACTGCTTCAGTGGAATATCTGTCAGGGCTTGACTGAGAAGACACTGTACTTTGGTGAAGAACATCTTTAGTTAGTTTAGTTGAATCTGATGCATGCCTAGATAAATCAGACCCTGCTAGGTCTAACCCCCTGTATACATAGGAAAATGCCTCAGACCCCCCAGCAAAAAAGGAGATTTCTGTTGGATCATCATCAATAAATTCTTCTGAAATCTGCAGCTGAGAGTTTGTCAATGTGAAAAGAGGGTCACCCCCACTGTAAAACGCATGCTTTTTATCAGCAATGAAAACACCTGTGGTAAAGTCATCCTCATCATTGTCATTTTTACAGATAACCCTCCTTTCCTTGCTTCCCTTCTCTATTTCTAGATCTAAATCACAACTACTGTCAATACCAGGACAAGTAGAGCTGCAGTTTCCTGCAACATTAAAAAACCCAACACCTTGGAATGACTGGAGTATGGGAGATCCAGGCTGCTGTGTTGCTTTCTTCCCAGTTTCTTCAGCTGGTGTTGCAGTACTCTTTTCTGTTGTGGGGCTCCTTGTATACAGTGCTCTGGGATCCCTGGAGGAATTATTCATCTCTGAACAGACGGACAGGTCAGTAGTGGATGATACATAAACCGAATGGAAGGAGGCAGACACTGAGGCATGGGACACAGGAACACCTAAGCCCTCAGTAAATGAGACACTCTGAAGTGGAAAGAAAACAGAATAGGTAAAAAAGTGTTTTTTCACAAATAGAAACACTGATATCTGACTCAGTAGGAGTGTGTACCAGAAAGGGATCACTTTTCTGAATACACAACTTACACAAAAAAGGACCACATTTTTCAGAAAGATAAAAAAAATTAATCTTTTATAATTTTTGAGGACTGGATATCAAATTACTTCAATAATTTTAAACCCCTCTGCTAACAGCAAACAAGGAAATACCCACAAGAGGACTGAAGGGAATTCACAAAACATTTAGGGTCACGTCCTGAAAGGCTTGCTCCAGCACTGTTCTTTTTGATTGTACGAGAGAGAGATTTACTCTGAGACATACGACTAGAACTGAATGTCTCAAAAAATACGTATGAACATTTGATTCCAGCTATGTCAACTGTGGAAAATGAGCCAGGTGAGTCACTTTCAACCTACTTACAGTATACATTAAAATTAACACCACAGAGAAAAAACTTATTCACATGCATGAAGATTCAATAGCAAAAATTATTCTGGATCAACACCACAATGTAATACTTACCATAGTATTTACAGGATGCAAGACTAACCTGTTTTGGCACGTCTACATTCGAAGTGTGAGCAGACACTCTAGCTTTGCTGTGTCTCCTACAAGAGAGAATATGCTGTGAGAAATATGAAATCAGATAACCTCTCTCCTTCCCCACCCAACTTCCCCCATTCTACCTGTGCATGCAAACGAGTAAAAAGATGCTCTATCCCCTTTTCAGAGATGACTAAATGAAGGTACAAGCAAGGACATGAAATATTTGTGAATAACTACAAAATACAGGAGCAAGACAATTATAGAAAGCAGACAAACTAGAAGAAGACCATTCATGTCTTCAAAGGAGAACTCAAAAGCAACTGCAAAGGCACGGGAGGACAGAAGAATGAGGCATCATAAAGGTATCTTTTTTTTTTTTTAATTCGTCTTCTCATGAAAGCACAAAAATATCCATAAATTAATATGGTGTAAAAATGGAGAGCAAGTAAATTTATGTATAATGCTTATGCTAAGTACACTGGCAGTCAACTGTATACCATACATGGAATGAAACCGTATCCATTTTCCATTCAAAAGGTCCTTTTATAAATCATAAACGCTGTTGATTTGACCCCATGTTACATTTTTTATGAGAAAATCCCTACCTGAGACAGGAAGCTAATCAGAAATACAAGTAGTTAAAATCATTTTTTTATGGAATTTCCCACATTAACACCCCGATTAATATCTCATAAATATAGTCACATTTTGTGAAAGCCACATGGTCTTGGAAACATTTCTTACTGGTAGTAAGGGTGTGTACACAAATGAGAAAGATAGAAAAAGATAAAAAAATATATATCACATTTTCAGAGAGGAAGTTTTTTGCAGTGCATCAGGTGCTAATTTGGAACTTGTCAGACCCACAGCCAAATCCCTGCTTTGCCACAGATTTCCTGTGTGATTTTAGGCAAGTCACTTAGCCTCTCTCTGTGTCAGTTCCCAAGCATTTTATAATTTAAAAAAGAAATGTCTCAAAGCAACAATTTCATTAAAAGTGAGATTTAGGATATCAACATAGGGGCTCCAAGAGTCCCAAATTCATGTTACCTTGCAAAAATAATGGGTTTTACCTCTCATAGGGAGTTTTCTTCATCCCACTGTCTTTAACATAATTCACCAGCTGTTTCTGTGTTCGCCCACTGTGAAGCCATGCAAAGTACAAATATTATAAAATTAATCATAGAAGGAGCAGATAAAAACATCTAGGTTTGGAAGAAAATGTTTATGCATCAGGAACAGATTCTGAAACTTTTAAGTTTAGTTGAACACGTTTTTATCATTATTTCATTTCCTAGGTATAAAAAGTTATGTTTTATAAATATGCTCAATTATGCTATATCATACCTGTATCTGAATGAAGAACCTCTACTGAAGAAGACTGTTTTAGCCTTTGGTTTTGGCTGATCAAATAGTCTGAAGAAAGTGTGATATTCCACACAGATTTTCCAGAAATTTTTACATTCATCCCTACTGCCCAACAGAAACTCCAGTGTATCCTGATATGGACCCTGGGAGCAAAACAGACATTCAAGTAGCACATAAAAGAACACTGAATGTACACAAGAAAACAGCATGTACACTCTATTACAGATAGCAAAGTTACTAATCTGCAAGGGGTCACAAAATTTTTACTTCCACAAGGTCTTAGCGATGTTACACAAAAATGTTTACTTTACCAAGCCACTGTGGCATTTGGTAAAGTTTTGAACGTAGCTTAGAAATATGAAATCTGAAACAATTTAAAAAAATTGTATTCATGCTCTAGAAAAATGCAAAAGTGCTTTAAAATAAACTTGATAAGAACCTTTAAAATTATGTTCACTATAGATCATGCTAATAAAAGTGAATTGTTAAATTACTAATTTGGCAGGACAAAATAATGGGTTTTGGAATATATGTCTGCATCACATCTCAAATAACAGTTACAAGAAAGAACCAATTTTTCTTTCGTGAGTATATTCTGCCATGTTTTCTACTTATGTGACTTACAAGTAGTACTCATAGAAGGAGAGGTTGGAGTGTATTTAAGCAAGGACTGCAAGATTGCCTTCCAAAAAGTTGCATAGTCATGGCAAATCTGTGAACAGACTGCTAAACCCTTAATTTGGTCTGCATACGAAAAAAACTGAACAAGATAAAAAATGAGAATGTTTGCTCCTATTTTCTCCTGTTGAAGACAAAGCTAAACATTGGCTGATGTCCTGCATGTAAGGCTGTTGTTCCTCTGGGAGTGAATGCTGCTTAGGAAAGAACCTGGAAAATATTCAGCTTGGTTCAGGTGAAACTGGGAAACAAGTTTGGATAAACACTTGGGCTGCGTCTAGACTGGCAAGTTTTTCCGCAAAAGCAGCTGTTTTTGTGGAAAAACTTGCCAGCTGTCTTGCTTTTTTGCGCAAGAACACTGACGATCTAATGTAAGATTGTCAGTGTTCTTGCACAAATACTATGCTGCTCCCGCTCGGGGAAAAGCCCTCTTGCGCAAACGCTTTTGCGCAAGAGGGCCAGTGTAGACAGCTAAAAACTGTTTTGCGCAAAAAAGCCCCGATGGCGAAAATGGCGATCTAGATTGGCACGGACACTTTCTTGCACAAAACCGCGTCTAGACTGGCACAGACACTTTTACGCAAAAAGTGCTTTTGCGCAAAAGCGTCCGTGCCACTCTAGATGCTCTTTTCCGCAAATGCTTTTAACGGAAAACTTTTCCTTTAAAAGCATTTGCAGAAAATCATGCCAGTCTAGATGTAGCCTTAGGGTATTTGGCCACAAGGTTACATACAATTTTCTAAAGATAAAGTAACAGAGTTCCACCACCAAAGCCTATAACATCCACCAGGAGGATGGTGAGTTATCACCACAAGGAAAGCACTTTTCTGACACAGAAGAGAGAACAGTTGCCAGAGACATGAATGGAGGTCCCAAAAGAGCAGTTAAGACAGTATTAAGCTCTCAAAGAAGAACTGGCTTTTTAACCAATGGGTAAAATTACTCCTTTTCAAGAACCTTGTGGCCATGGGGTTTGAAACCATCAGCGTTTCCATGAATGGGCTGATGAGACACTTAAGTCATTACCAGGCAGACTTTCAGTGAATGAAGAGCAAGACCAGAAGACTGAAGGCGTAACAGACTGAAGGTGTATCTCAAAAAAGGATATACTGGCATTAGAAAAGGTCCAGAGAAGGGCAACTAAAATGATTAGGGATTTGGAATGGGTCCCATATGAGGAGAGATTAAAGAGACTAGGACTTTTCAGCTTGGAAAAGAGGAGACTAAGGGGGGATACAATAGAGGTCTATAAAATCATGAGTGGTGGGGAGAAAGTGAATAAGGAAAAGTTATTTACTTGTTCCCATTATATAAGAACTAGGGGCCACCAAATGAAATTAATGGGCAGCAGGTTTACAACAAATAAACGGAAGTTCTTCACACAGTGCACAGTAAACCTGTGGAACTCCTTGCCTGAGGAGGTTGTGAAGGCTAGGATTATAACAGGGTTTAAACGAGAACTAGATAAATTCATGAAGGTCAAGTCCATCAATGGCTAATAGCCAGTATGGGTAAAGAATGGTGTCCCTAGCTTCTGTCTGTCAGAGGGTGGAGATGGATGGCAGGAGAAAGATCACTTGATCATTATCTGTTCGATTCACTCTCTTTGGGGCACCTGGCATTGGCCACTGTTGGCAGACAGGGTACTGGGCTGGACGGACCTTTGGTCTAACCCTGTATGGCCATTCTTACGTTCTAACAAACTCTAAACATTAGCTTTTTTCACAACTGCATTACATTGTTCACTAATATTCAATCTGTGATCCAATATGGCCCCAAATCCTTTTCAGTGGTAGTGCCACCTAGCTACTTAGTACCCATTTTGTAGTTGTGCATTTCATTTTTCCTTCTTAAATGAAATACTTGCTGGATACCATGATTACAGTTCTTTGACTTGTCCCTATTAAATTTCACCTTGTCGAATTCAAACCAATACTTCAAAGGTCATTTTGAATTCTAATCCTGTCTCCCCATCCTCTCCCAACATAGAGTCATCTGTATGTTTTGTAATTTTACTGTCTGCTCCATTATCCAAGTCATCAGTGAAAGTGTTGAACAATACCAGACCGAGAACTAACCCTGTGGGATCCCATCAAATAAATCCTCTTTTTTACAGCTAACCATTGATATCCATGGTCTTTCAACCAGTTGTGCACTCACCTTACAGTAATTTTATCTAGACCATATTTCCTGAGTGTTCATGTGGGACTACTAAACCTTTACTAAAATCTAGATACATCACATTTACTGTTTCCTTCCTATCCACTATGCCAGAAAAGAAAAAATTATGTTGACTTGGCATAATTTGTTCTTCACAAATCCATACTGGCTATTCCCTATAACCTTGTAATTGTCTATGTGATTGCAAACTGATTGTTCAGTAATTTGTTATTTTTGCATATCAAAAGTAGGCTGACAGATCTATACAGGCAGTCCCTGGGTTTACGTACAAGATAGAGACTGTAGGTTTGTTCGTAAGTTGAATTTGTACTTAAGTCGGAACTGGCGTCCAGATTCAGCCGCTGCTGGTCAGTTTCAGCAGCGGCTGACTTGGGGACACCTGGGGCAGAGCAGCTGCGGTGCTGCCAGGTTGGTCCAGTAGCGCCGCTCTTAGGCGCTACTGGACCAACCTGGCAGCACCGCAGCTGCTCTGCCCCAGGCGTCCTGATTCAGCCGCTGCTGGTCAGTTTCAGCAGCGGCTGACTTGGGGACACCTGGGGCAGAGCAGCTGCGGTGCTGCCAGGTTGGTCCAGTAGCGCCGCTCTTAGGCGCTACTGGACCAACCTGGCAGCACCGCAGCTGCTCTGCCCCAGGCGTCCTGATTCAGCCGCTGCTGGTCAGTTTCAGCAGCGGCTGACTTGGGGACACCTGGGGCAGAGCAGCTGCGGTGCTGCCAGGTTGGTCCAGTAGCGCCGCTCTTAGGCGCTACTGGACCAACCTGGCAGCACCGCAGCTGCTCTGCCCCAGGCGTCCTGATTCAGCCGCTGCTGGTCAGTTTCAGCAGCGGCTGACTTGGGGACACCTGGGGCAGAGCAGCTGCGGTGCTGCCAGGTTGGTCCAGTAGCGCCGCTCTTAGGCGCTACTGGACCAACCTGGCAGCACCGCAGCTGCTCTGCCCCAGGCGTCCTGATTCAGCCGCTGCTGGTCAGTTTCAGCAGCGGCTGACTTGGGGACACCTGGGGCAGAGCAGCTGCGGTGCTGCCAGGTTGGTCCAGTAGCGCCGCTCTTAGGCGCTACTGGACCAACCTGGCAGCACCGCAGCTGCTCTGCCCCAGGCGTCCTGATTCAGCCGCTGCTGGTCAGTTTCAGCAGCGGCTGACTTGGGGACACCTGGGGCAGAGCAGCTGGGGTGCTGCTGGGGGGGGGCCAGCAGACCAGGGAGACGCGGAGCAAAGCCGCGGAGGACCCGGGCGGCAGGACCACCCAGACGCGCCGCGGTCCCGCCTGGGTCCTCCACGGCTGTGCACTGCGTCTCCCTGGTCTGCTGGCCCCCCCCCAGCAGACCAGGGAGATGCGGAGCAGCTTTTCTCGCCCCAGAGGACGCGGGCGGGCGGGACCGCGGCACGTCTGGGCGTTCCCGCCGCCCATGTCCTCCGGGGCGAGAAAAGCCCCGTTCGTAAGTACGGATCCGACATAAGTCGGATCCGCGTAACTCAGGGACTGCCTGTAATTTCCTGTGGTGTCTGTGCTCCCCTATGTTAACCCATTTCCAGTTCTGTGGGACCACACCTGTTTCTCCTGAGTTCTCTAATTGCTAAAAGTACAAAACTGCTTTAACTAGTTTCTTAACTAGGATGAATTTCATTGGGCTCTTTAACCTTTTCTTATTTTGGCTTGCACTTCTTCCCCCTTGTCATAAGTACGGTTTTGAGTATCTGATCATCATTAACCTTTTTAGTGAAGACTGAGGCAAGAGGCATTAAACAACCTTATTATTGTTGTCAGTTATTAGCTCTTTTACACTTTCCTGAGTCTCTCTCTTGCTTCTAATGTATTAAAGAATCTCTTCTTGTTGCCGTTTATGTTCCTTCCTAGAATAAGTCATTTTGTGCCTTAGTCTGACTTTGTCCCTAATGCTTATATTACTGTATTGTACTCTTCAGCAATTTGTCCATGTTTCCACTTTTTATAAGTCTAGAAGTCTGTTGCCCTTTCAACAATCAAGTAATTAAAGGGCTCCTGATGGAACCATGTAGGCCTCTTACTAGTTTTCCTTTCTTTCCTTTGCATTAGGATAATGTGCAGTTGTGCATTCAATATTGTCTTCTCAAGAAACTGTCAGCTATACTGAACTGCTTTATCCATTAGATTGTTTCCCATGAAACCTTGTCTGCCAGTTCCCTGAATTTGTTAAAATCTGCTTTTTTGAAGTCCATTGTCTTTATTCTGCTGCTCTCGCTCTTTCTTTTTCTTAGGATCATGGGATCCATTATTTCATGATCATTTTCACCCATATTATATTCCACTTTGAGATTCACTACTAATTCTTCCACGTTGCTTAGAATCAAGACTCAAATGACTGTTTCCCTAATTACTTTCAAAGTTGTCCCTAATACATTCCAATAACTTTTTGGAAAATTATTCTGCCATACTACTTTTAGAACAGATATCTCCATCTTACTTTCTGGATATTTCTGTTCCATTTCATTCCATGAAAAACTGATAAAAGAAAAACGTTTACTGAAAAAAATTAGTGGGCTGAAAACTGAGGTAAACATGCCACATTCTCCCCTTGCATATGTGCTTAGCAATGGCATGCAGGTGCAGTCTAATCTGGCAACCATCTTAAAGAGCACAGGAATCTGAACTAAATTCTGTCCCCATTCCCTACAGATCTCCACACATGTCCTGCAAGAGTGCCTGCTCTTTTATGAGCCTCTCATACCCTTATTTCCAGCAACAGGCACTCTGCAATTTGCATACCTTTTTCCGATAGTCTTTTTTGGAAGAGGCTTTTCCGAAATTTGGCCCATCTACACTGGGGAGAGAAGCCTCCTCAGGAAGACAGGGCTTCCAAAAGAGCGTGTCTGCTCTTCTGCAAAAAAAGGCGTTTTCTGGGATACAAAAACCCCATAGTGTAGACATAGCCCCACACAGCTTCCACAGCAGTATACTACATAACTCTCAGAGGTTATTAAAGCCACAGAAAGAAAACTGCAGCAAGCTGATACAAGCAGCACTAGCTCCCAAGTGGCAATCTGCCTCATCACTGAGCTCAAAAGTTCTGAGCTCATGATGTACAGAGTGTTTGCACGGCAATTCTGATCCCTTATGGCTGGTCATGCCTTTTTCAGTCTTGCATATTTGATTACACACATCACTAAACAGGACTGGCCCCTGCTTCGGTTGGTGGCAGGACTACTTAACGGCAACTCAACCCTTTAGACCCAATCCAAACAGACCTCTTTTTGAGAATGTTTCTCTCCTCACCATGCAGCAAAGGGGGCACATGGCCCTAAAACGCTAGTTTTAGCTGTAGGCAAATTTACATTTGAAGCACAAGTACTATGAATAACACTCCTAATAAAAAGAAAATACATGGCAATTATAAGAAAATACACATACTGAATAATTTACTAGTAACTCTTGTTACAATGTGATATTTTAAAATACATATGCTTATGTCTAAGGAAGGCCAAGACAGCTACAGGGAGTGGAAAGCCTAAGAAGAGCAAAATAGGAACACTGAGGAGGTAGGGGAGACCTTTCCTACAATAACTGAACGAAGAAGCCAAAAAGTATCTTTTAGGGCATTTAAAAAAAATCTACTTACTTTAGAGATTATAGATGAAAGCATTTCTACTCACATTTAGAAGACTTTTTAAACAGTGCCATGACTATAGGGGTAGCTAGACTTACATGGACTTCTGGGTGGAGCTTGATCAGAAACCTTTTTCTCTTGAAACTTAATTTACGGACCTTAGACCAGTTGAAGGTGTTGATTTTTGTGGTACCCTAAATGAAAAACAAAATTATTTATGGCTAGCAAGAAATATTTACACTGCTAAGCTAGATATTAACATGACAAAGTCAGCCAGATAGCTGCAAGAGGATGCTGGCAGGCAGATATGTTAACCCTACAACAGAGGTGGCCAATCTAAAGGTGAGAAGGAGCCAGAATTTACCAATGCACATTGCCAAAGAGCAACAGTTCTATGTCTCCAGCCCTGATCACATCTCCCCACCACCACTCTCAGCACACCCTGCCCATGGGCAGCCCCATCGGTCAGAGCCTCCTTCTCCTTTTCCTCTTGCCCACTGGGATCAGCTCTAAGTGGGAAACACTGGAGGGGGAAGCGTGGATGTGCCAGGGTCAGTGGAGAGGGTGGGAAGCGAATTATTCCCTTAAGGAATCTTTCAGTGGTTGGGTGCAACATCACTAATGAAAAAGAACTTAGGGTCACAGTATAGAAAAAAGTATGTGAAAGAGTTGTCTTTGGAGAGATGTGTTGGGAAATGCACAAAATGTGAAATCTGGACTATTTCTGCTAGGAAATAAGAACGGCCATTCTGGGTCAGACCAATGGTCCATCTAGCTCATTATCCTGTCTGCCGACAGTGGCCAATACCAGACACCCCAGAGGGAGGGAAGACAACCAGGAATCCTCCCGTGATCCCTCCTGTCACCCACCTCCAGACAAACAGAGGCTAGGGAACCATTCCTACCTACCCTGGCTAACAGCCATTGATGGACCTAACCTCCATGAATCAGTCTAGCTCTTTTTTGAACCCTCTTAAAGTCCTAGCCTTCTCCACATCCTCTGGCAAGGAGTTGACTGTGCGCTGAGTAACGAAAAACGTCCTTTTATTTGTTTTAAACCTGCTACCTATTCATTTCATTTGGTGACCCCTACTTCTTATATTGTGGGAATAAGTAAATAACTTTTCCTTATTCACTTTTTCCACACGAGTCATGATTTCATAGACCTCTATCATATTGCCCCACCCCCACCCCCACCCAGCCTTAGTGTCCTCTTTCTAAGATGAAAGGTCCGGTTGTTTTAATCTCTCTTCATATAGGACCCGTTCAAAACCCCTCATCATTTTTGTTGTCCTTTTCTGAACCTTTTCCAAAGCCAATATATCTTGTTTGAGATGAAGCAACCACATCTGTACACAGTATTCAAGATGTGGGCGTACCATGATTTTATATAGAGGCAATAAGATATTCTCTGTCTTATTCTCTATCCCTTTTTTAATTACTCCTAACATTCTATTTGTTTTTTTGGCTGCAACAGCACACTGAGTGGATGTTTTCAGAGAACTATCCACAATGACTCCAAGATCTCTCGAGTAGCTGAAGCCAAATTAGTCCCCATCATATTGTATATATAGTTGGGATTACTTATGGGGGGAGTAGGGTGTACATTTAAACAGTCTTACGAAGCAAAGCAAATGTACTCTAAAACACAGTCCAAATGTTATGCATTCCCAGGTACTGCAGAACACTGCCAATGTCTCTTTTACCTCAGCATACAGACTCCCAGAAACCTCTGGGCAGCCTTGGAATACTTCAGGATATGTGGAAGTCCTTGGTCGTATTGCCAAAGAGTTTCATGACCTTAAAAGGAAAATCTTCCCTTGTGAACTGCATCTCTTGCAAGAATCCCAGTAAATGGAGCTATACTACCCGCTGCATCATCACTACTGCAAAGATGGACCTAGATGCCATGTCGGTGGCATCAAGGGACAACTGTAGCAATGTTTTTGCTACCAATTAGCCCTCTTCTAGGATGGATTTGAAGGACTGGACTTTGGGCAGTCTATCAAAGTCACGGAGTTTCTGTTTAGCCAGCACACATTATCTAGCCTTGTGCATCCTGAGGAAAAACAATGCATGTGTGGCCCAACAGACACTGGTACTAGAGTTCTCTGATGATCTCCACAGGCATGCAAACACACCTACTGTGGATCACCCATACGGCCATATGAGCAAAATGCAGAAAGAACTAGGTATGTTTAGTTTGTAAAGAGAGAAGATTGGGGTGGGGGTGAACATGATAGCAGTCCTCAAATACTTGAAAAGACAGAAGATGGAGAAAGGTTGTTCTCTATTGGCATAAAGGGCAGGACAAGAGGCAATGGGTTCAAACTATAGCATAGTGGATTTAGATTAAAGCTCAGGGAAAATACTAGGACAATGAAATAGATTGCTCTTTCACTGAACTTTTTCAAAAGCAAGGTGGTTGGATGGGTTAGCAACAACAAATCCTGCATCTTGGCAGGGGATCAGATAGGATGATTCTGACCCTATGATTCTGTGATTTAACATCAGCTATTAAAAAAAGTCAGAAGAGATTTGTAGATTAAAGTAACTGACAGTTACTTAGGGAGTTATAATCAAAAGGAAGACATACGTATCTGGTATTTTCGCAACCCACCTGAAATACTAATACACCCATGTGTGAAACAGCAAGGTTAATTTTCGACCCCTCACGGTCAGATGCAAGGTGAAATCTAATTCCATACATTTCCAGTTTCCGAGCAATTTCAAGCACCTGGAAATCTGACTCAGCAGGAGTTTGGCCTCTGCAGTAAGGAACAGAAGCATAAAAACACAGTATGAAATGCAACGCAACATGATTTCATAATACTTCCACAGAGTACAAAGTAACTAATCTATATGTTTAGAACTAAGCAATAATTTTGTGCCTAATTTACATTGGCAATTTCACTCCATGAAAACAGAACTGCTGCCTTTGTAATATGATTAACAAAATATAGGGGAAATACATACAGAGAAGCAAGTGTCACTAGCCCAAAGGGCTCTCGGGACTTGCCATCAGACTTGACGACGACTCAGTCACATAATTCACCATTTTCTGCCATCAAATTTGTTCAGTTGGCTGTAGTCAAACGTTTCCCCCCCATCTTTCTGCATTGCCAAAACGTGTCTGCACATTCTCGTTTCCCATCTTTCCCCACCAGGGGGAGTAAATTGCATTACAGCAGTTTCTCTCAAACTGTGCTCCGCAGAGCCATCTCCAGAGGCTCCACGAGGTTGACAAACTGGAAACGTCGATAGGTACAACACATACAGTCAGTGGACTGCTAGGGCTCCGCATAAATTTACACGCATGTAAAGGGTTCCGGAGCCCAAAAAGTTTGAGAACCTCTGCATTACAGCGTACCCTCCCTTAGACTAACACAGCAGCAGTGCATCAGGAAAACAAATCAAGTCTAGCTTGGAGTGGGTGGAACCTGAAGCGTACACGGTCCAGCAGAGCTTGCCAGGGAGAACAACATAATATTCAACACCCAGGGAGCAGAGATGATGAGCTACTGAAGCTGGCTTCAAGCTCCTCATTTCCACGATAACTTCTAGATAAGGATCATATGGGAGCCATGTTAGTCTGTAACTAAAAACAAGCAGTCCTGTGGCACCTTAGAGACTAACAAATATATTGGGTCATGAACTGCCATGGGTAAAACCCATTTCATAAATGTGTTAGTTTCTAAGGTGCCATAGGACTTATTGTTTTTAACTGATGTGAGGAACTACTGAGCTGGGCCACCTGGACAACACTAATTTTGAGCCCCATAAATGTGGGCTGCCCAGAAAACAGTGAAGAACACAATCTTCAAAAGTAACCATTGCTGAAACTAATAACTGTGAGACTTACATTTGAAAACACAAACTGAGGTAAGTCAAAGCTGTTTGTGAGTCTGAGGGTGACAACCCTTATGAAAATGGGACTTAAGGATATTTCATGAATCCAACTTAAAAAGAACATCTTTGCTATCTACATTAGTACACTGAATACAAAAAAAAGGGCAACAAATGGAATTTTTTCACACAACAGTTTACTAGAAAGAAACTGGATGATGGAGGAAGGATGAGGGCTTTGTAAAAAGAAAAACTCAGAATTTTTTGTTACATCTGACTAGGTCACACAGGCTAGATTTACATATGCCATGTTAAAACTTGCTTTAAATATTTTTTTCTCCAGGGAACAGATTTCCCCCTATAGACAGATATTCAATTCCTGTAAAACAGACTATATGCTATTTATAGTAGGATCTATTTTTGTGTTCTACCTTGTGCCAAGTGTAACATAAGCATTACAAAATGAATATTTTCCTGCAATATTCTCTTCCTCTTCTAGCCGTTTTTTTTAAAAAAATGCCTACTCCTAACAGTTTACAGTAACCATTAAACCAGACTCTGTTCTGTTTCTATGAAGTAATGTTTTTCTGTTAAGCATGTTCAAATAATTAAAAAATTAAAGTACAAATGTATGGAAATAGGGCCCTTTTAACTGCATATGTGGCTCATATTTAAAATTAATATCAATACAACCGTAGAATCCACTGAAAATGCAATCCTTTACATATGAAAACGTGATACAGAAATAACGATTTGCCAACTCCTACAAGTAGTTACATACTTGAAAATCATTGTACCACGCAGGTTCTGGGTGAGTTATGTGGTTATAACATTCAGTGGAGTTTCTACTACTTCATTCTGTTAGCTTGTGGCAAAGCCTGAAAACATTTTTGTCCCTAATTACAGCAGGGGTTCAAAAGAAGTTCATTATCTTCAAAGATGTAATTTATGTTATGTTTTTCATCAAATCTGGATATGTTGTAGCCAAGTACACTTCATACACAAAGTATAATTCCAGCAGTATAACTTCTATGAGGAGGTAAGGCCTAAATTGCATCTCTGTGAGATAAGTGATGAGGTTGGAAATAAATTTTGGCCATAAATTTGCTAGTTTTCCAACTTCAAGCATACCGCATGCAACACAATGGGCCAAACTCATTCCTGATGTAATGCTATAATCTCGAAAGGAGAATACTAGGGCTTCATGTATTGCAACGTGGTGCGTGGAGGATTTGGAATATATGGCAATAAAACTGCTAGGCATAAACGCAGGCTAATAACTTGAGTACTATTGTATTATGTACAAAAACAACCACAGTTTAATTATTCAAATGTATCTAATGAAGCTAAGCGCAGAATGCCTGTCAGAAAGAATAGTATTTTAAACCACAGCCCGCATCTACAATAGAAGGAACTCTCTGAAGTGGGGAAAATTAGGAATGAAGTGAAGCAGCTCACACTGCACAAAAAACATTTGCAAAAGAGGAGCAGTTTCAAAGTAATTATCCTCAGATGTTTGCTATAGACTAATCTGCACATGCTGGTCTGAAAACAACCTGGCCTAATTTTGTTCATCCATTAAGTAGATAAATCTACTTAGGCTTTCCCAGGTCAATGGATGACAACCTACCAATTAAACTATTTTCCAACAAGAACTGACTTTAATACAGAAGGTCTCAGTGAAAGGTTTGCGTACAGTTATATCCATATGAGACAATATTTATCATCACAACACCCATAAAGTAATGAGAAAGATCAAACTCAAACCTGGATATTGATAAGTTATTACATCGTTTTGAAAACCTACAATTAATTTAGATTTTATGTCTTGAAGAGCCAATTACATTGCATGTTTAGAGGCTGAATTGGCGATTAAAGTAGAATTTTACATTTCTGCACAAGAATCTATATTCACAACAAAAATCCAAAGATACCTCCATGAGGCTGGCTTAGCAGAAGACAACTGAATTACAAGGGGTAGGATATCAGTTAACCTGATGACAACTTAAGACCAAGACTACCGTGGCTCTTCTGCTGTTACGTTGTTCTCTTCCCACCCTCCATCCACAAAAATTATATATTCACTTACTATGTATCGTTTAAATCCTAGACTGTAAACATTTTGTGGAAGAAATTGTCCTTTTATTGTTTCTATAATGCATAGTACAAGAGAAGTTGAATCCGTATTTGGGGTACTTAGGTACACTCGTATATAAAGTAGTCAATTTCAGATCTTGCAGAGTTACACAACGACAGAGCTATACCAGACTATTTTGGCACTTAGTAAACAGATAGGCTATGTCTACACTGGCGGGTTCATGCCTACCCTCTCTTGCGGAAGAAGATTTACAGTACAGCGTGGTAAGAGAGGGCTTCTTGCGCAAGAGCTATGCTCTTTTTTAACAGGTGTTAGCCCTCTTGCGCAGGGGCTCTTGCGCAAGAGGGCAGTGTGGACGCTCGGCAGGGTTTTCTTGTGCAAGAAAGCCCTATGGCTAAAATGGTCATCAGAACTTTCTTGCACAAGAGAGCGTCCATACTGCCATGGGCGCTCTTGCGGAAAAGCACAGCTCGCACGTGGCAGTGTGGACTTTTTCTTGCGCAAGACTTCTTGCATAAGAAACTTTGTGCAAGATGTTCTTGCGCAAGGAGCCGCCAGAGTAGACATAGCCATACTTTTGATACAAAACTGTAGAGAATTGTAAGGTTATGCATTTAGGGATTAATAACAAGAATTTTAGTTATAAGCTGGGGACACATCAGTTGGAAGTAACAGAGGAGGAGAAGGACCTCGGAGTCCTGGTTGATTATAGAATGACTATGAGCAGCCATTGTGACATGGCCGTGAAAAAGGCTAATACGATCTTGGATGTATTAGGCGAGGTATTTCCAGTAGGGATAAGGAGGTGTTAGTGCCATTATACAAGGCATTGGTGAGACCCCATTTGGAATACTGTGTGCAGTTCGGGTCTCCCATGTTTAAGAAGGATGAATTCAAACTGGAACAGGTACAAAGAAGGGCCACTAGGATGATCCGAGGAATGGAAAACCTGTCTTATGAAAGGAGACTCAAGGAGCTTGGCTTGTTTACTTTAACCAAAAGAAGGCTGAGGGGGGACATGATTGCACTTTTTAAATATATTAGAGGGATAAATACCAGGGAGGGAGAGGAATTATTTAAGCTTAATACCAATGTGGACACAAGAACAAATGGATATAAGCTGGCTAATAGGAAGTTTAGACTTGAGATTAGACGAAGGTTTCTAACCATTAGAGGAGTGAGGTTCTGGAACAGCCTTCCAAGGGAAGTAGTGGGGGCAAAAGATCTATCTGGTTTCAAGATTAAACTAGATGGGTTTATGAAGGGGATGGTTTGATGAGATAACATGATCTTGGTAACTAATTGACCATTCATTATCAGTGGGAAATAGGTCAATGGAGGGATGATAGGAGTTACTATAGAGAACTTTCTGGGTGTCTGGCTGATGAGTCTTGCCCACATGCTCAGGGTTTAGCTGATCGCCATATTTGGGGTCGGGAAGGAATTTTCCTCCAGGGTAGATTGGCAGAGGCCCTGGAGGTTTTTCGCCTTCCTCTGTAGCATGGGGTACAGATCACAGCTAGAGGATTCTCTGCATCTTGGGGTCTTAAAAGTATTTGAAGGCTTCAGTTGTCTGAGATATAGATGAGAGGATTATTCTAGGAGGGGGTGGGTCAGATTATGTGGCCTGCACTGTGCAGGGGGTCAGACTAGATGATCATAACGGTCCCTTCTGACCTTAAAGTCTATGAGGCTATGAGACTATGTACAAAAATCAGCTTTAAAATCCTCTTTCAGTGATAACATTTATTTTCCTTTTGATACAGAACAGCTATTGATTGGACGCACTGCATCGATTTCATGTTGCATTGTGTTATCCTACTGGTGTTATCAGCTGTGATTAAAATGTGAAATTGCGGAACTATTAACTATGGTTTGTAACCTATCCTTTAAATCAGCTTCTGTACCCAATGACTGGAAGATAGCTAATGTAACGCCAATATTTAAAAAGGGCTCTAGAAGCGATCCTGGCAATTATAGACTGGTAAGTCTAACATCAGTACCAGGCAAATTAGTTGAAACAATAGTAGATAATAAAATTGTCAGATTCATAGAAGAACACAATTTGTTGGGCAAAAGTCAACATGGTTTCTGTAAAGGGAAATCTTGTCTTACTAATTTATTAGAGTTCCTTGAAGGGGTCAATAAACATGTGGACAAGGGGGATCCAGTAGATATAGTGTACTTAGATTTCCAGAAAGCCTTTTACAAGGTCTCTCACCAAAGGCTCTTACGTAAATTAAGATGTCATGGGATAAGAGGGAAGATCCTTTCTTGGACTGAGAACTGGTTAAAAGACAGGAAACAATTGTAAATGTGCACTCAAAATGATGGGATCTAAATTAGCTGGTACTATTCAAGAAAGAGATCATCATGAATAGTTTTCTGAAAACATCTTCTCCATGCATAGTGACAGTCAAACCAAACAATATTGATATTCATTTAAAAAGGATAGATAAGACATAAGAACATATGAACGGCCGTACCGGCCATACGAAGGTCCATCTAGCCCAGTAGCCTGTCTGCCGACAGTGGCCAGCACCAGGTGCCCCAGAGGGGGTGGACCGAAGACAACGATCAAGCGATTTGTCTCGTGCCATCCATCTCAGAGGAAACAGACAAACAGAGGCCAGGGACACCATTCCTACATATCATATCATACAATGCCACTATATAAAGCCATGGTATGCCCTCCTCTTGAATACTGCCTGAAAGTCTCATCACCCATTTCAAAAAAGCAAACAGGATGTTAGGAATCATTAAAAAAGGGATAGAGAATAAGACAGAGAATATCTTATTGCCCTTATATAAATCCATTGTATGCCCACATCTTGAATACTGCGTACAGATGTGGTCTCCTCACCTCAAAAAAGAAACTGGCATTAGAAAAGGTTCAGAGAAGGGCAACTAAAAAGATTAGGGGTTTGGAACGGGTCCCATATGAGGAGAGATTAAAGAGACTTTTAAAGCTTGGAAAAGAGGGGGGATACGATAGAGGTCTATAAAACCATGAGTGGTGTGGAGAAAGTGAATAAGGAAAAGTTATTTACTTGTTCCCATATAAGAACTACTAGGGGCCACCAAATGAAACTAATGGGCAGCAGGTTTAAAACAAATAAAAGGAAGTTATTCTTCACACAGCACACAGTCAATCTGTGGAACTCCTTGCCTGAGTAGGTTGTGAAGGCTAGGACTATACAAGGGTTTAAAAGAGAACTAGATAAATTCATGGCGGTGAGGTCCATCAATGGCTATTAGCCAGTATGGGTAAGGAACGGTGTCCCTAGCTTCTGTCTGTCAGAGGGTGGAGATGGATGGCAGGAGAGATTGCTTCATCATTACCTATTCAGTTCACTCCCTCTGGGACATCTGGAATTGGCCACTGTCAGCAGACAGGATACTGGGCTGGATGGACCTTTGGTCTGACCCAGTATGGCTGTTCGTATGTTCTTATTAATTATTTGTATGACTATATACTTAGAAGCACTAATAATGGACAATATCAGCCATAAGAAATTAAGCATTATCCAAGTAGCTGTACACATGGCTGACTTTCACAGACAATCCACATACTGAATGAAACCCAGTGGTACATTAAATTATATAAAAGCCAGACTGAAGTTGCAAATTGGATATAGCACACAGAAAGAGAGAAATCAGAATAGGGCCAAGCAGTCAAAGTAGAGCAGAAGTCGCAAATGCAGGAGACTTGAAACTGGACAATGAAATAATATGTAGAAGTAGATGAAAGCCAGGAAACCTGGAGACAATTCATCCTGTCAGTAACTTCCTTCTTTCTTATGTTTTAAAAGTGGGGGCGAGACCAAAATGTATTACATTTTAAAAAAGAAAAAGAGTAAAGACATTCTTTAATATTCATGTATTTACTGTACAGCAGAATGCTTTTCTCTGTGCAGTATGTCCAATCAATAAAATGCAAATCATTTTCTCATTCTAGTCACCTTTCCGTATCACACAGAGGGGGTAAATAGGGAGTACTCCTTCAGCATACTCCTTAACAGATTATATTGCATCATCTTAAACCTATGAATGTATTTGTTGTTCGCATGCATGCAATGAAATCTTGAAACAGTGCTGAGTTAGTAAAATTTTCAACTTGTACTGTACACTGCAAGTGCTGAACTAAGGGAATGGTATGTTTTATTGTTTACTGTAATCCACCATGAATACACGTATTACATTTTATTAAATTCCTACAATTTGGCCAAATCAAAATTTTGTTAGCCCAAATTTCATTAATCCAATGAAAGGCATATCTACAACCAAAGGAATATGGGTCCTGCTAAATTCTTTCACCTTTGCTCAAGATCCTAGATATTGCCAATAAAAACATAATTAAAATTAGTTCTGATAAAATTAATTCCTATGCTAGAAAATAGGTGAAGTTTATTTGATGAACCTATCAGAAAATAATAATTCACAGTTGCGTTGGAAGGGCAAAACAAGTGGGGTTCCGCAGGTGTCCATTTTGGGACCGATTCTGTTCCATATCTTCATCAATGAGTTAGATATTGGCATAGAGAGTATGCTTATAAAGTCTGCAGATGATACCAAGCTGGGAAGGTCTGCAGCAAGTGCTTTGGAGGATAGGGTCAATATTCAAAATGATCTGGACAAACTAGAGAAATGGTCTGAGGTAAATAGGATGAAGTTTAATAAGGACAAATGCAAAGTACTCTGCTTAGGAAGGAACAATGAGTTTCACAATACAGAATGGAAGGAGTCTAAGAAGAATTACAAAACCTCTATAATCCCAGATTCTCTGGCCCTGTAACATCCAATGTCCGGCAGGACCATGGCTTCAGCAGTGCTGCCTGGCAGGGTCAGGAGCTTGGTGTGCTGTAGCAGGACTGTCCACAGGAGACAGCGCGGAGGGAGCTGGGCTGCCTGGCATAGCAGGGAAGGTGGTGTAGGGGCTGGCAGGGCAGCAAGGCTGGGGGCAAGGGAGAGTCGGCCAGGAAGCCAGCAGCTGGTCCAGGACTGCTGGGAACCAGTAGCAGGGAAACCAGACATGACCTCCCCTGATCCAGCAAAATCCCTCATCCAGGACTGGTCAGGTCCAGAGGGTGCTGAACCAGGGAGGTCCAACCTATACTGCAGAAAGGGATTTATGGGTCACATTAGACCACAAAGTAAATATGACTGTTGCAAAAAAAGCAAACTTCATTCTGGGACGCATTAACAGTATATAGGGTGAGGAAGCATTATTTATAACAAATGTCTTTAGTAATTCTTGCACTGTTTGCATGCTTTGTATTATTTTCTAAGTAATCTGCTTTGTTGTGTTTGCTGCCTCGAAATATTTAAAATACATCTTTTTATCATTAATAAACTTATTTATAGTTTACAATATAACAGTTTACGTAATTTTGAACTAGGGAGTATGAAAACTTGCGCATGCTTGTTCTCCACATTGAGGGAGAAGGCAAATTTCAAATAATTTTGAGATTACACTCCAAGGGAATTGAACACTTGGGCTATGGCAAGTCCCTTAAACTGAGTCTTCCCATAGCTGATCTCAGTATCTCTATCGTTCTGCAGCTGGGTGTGGTCCTGCCTGTGTGCTTGGCTGGAAGAGGCTTGTGAACCTGGCCCAGCAAGACTAGGTAAAAGGGACTCAGGCAGGCAGAACAGATTGACTCAGTAGTATCTCAGCACACCTGTCAACATTTCAAGGGGTCCAACCCATTACACCACAATGTTGCTATAGCCTACAATATTTGGCAAGATTTAAAGCAGGCGCCTCAAACTCTTGGCCCAGGGGCCAACTGCAGCCCAAGCTCTTCCCCAATCTGGCCCACAAAGTATTTTGAAAAAGTTTAATCAGGCCTATGCGGCTGCCTGCCAGGGATGGGCAGCAGAAAGGGACTCATCCATGCACACAGTTCCTTGCAGCACCCAGACCCCTACCACGCATATAGTCCTGGGCACAGGGACACTGCTTAGTCTGGGAAGCTGTGCTGATTGCCTCTGCCATGATGCGCTGGCCAGGGAGCCACCTGAGCTGATGCACTTCTACGCCAGTGGGGAAAGGGTGCTGGGTTTTGCTTTGGGTTACCCCGGCGGGAGCAGAGGACCCCAGCACGAGGATTCAGATGTTAGCAGGGGGGCAGGCAGGATTCCAGTGTGAGAGTGCAGATGTTAGTAGAAAGGGCCATCATTGTGGTTTTGTTTCCACCTATGAACAGCATTTAGCTTATGCCATCTATATGAAGCAGCAAGCGTATGTAAATTTTAAATACATAAGTATATCTTTCTAATTTCTCTGCATTGTTTTACCAGCATGCTGTAATACTAAAACATTTCCAAAAGCCCACCAAGAAGCTGCACTTACAAGTGCTTTCTGTGAAACTCCAATATCTTTCCTTGTACTCTTTCCTGGTTTGGCAAGTATTGATTTGTTTTAAGGTGACTGCGATCTCCAGATTCATCAAAATCCCCAATTTCAGCTATAATAAAAAGTAACAGATCATCAGAATTTAAAGAAACAGTACTTTGGCAAAGAAAATAAAGTTAATTCTCAATTTTAATCTTTAATAAAAATATTATTTACCTAGTACTTTAACTTGCTTATTTATTTTTATATAACAACATTTACTGGTGGTCCATATACAAGATTTCACCTGTGGTTTTTCCCGTAATATACAGGAACAAACTATCAATCAATGAGTTACCTTTATCTCTAGAAAGTCATATCATATGAAGTTATATTACACTTCCTTCCAATACTGAGAGTTAGCAAGCCATGGTGGGGACTTAAGATCTACACACACAGTTGCAGAGCAGTTAAAATGCAACGGTGTGTTAAATTTGCACCTGTAATTTACAGATGCAAACTAAAGGGATTTAAACCAGTTTAATCTGATGAGTATCCAGATAGGGATTTGCACATTTTAATTTAGTTTTAAACAAATTTAAATTAAACCACTGCAATTTGAGTAGACAAGCTCAGAGAAGTTTTGTAGAATCATGATAAACATATTTCAGTTTAAGCTTCATAAAGGACTGTTATAAAAAACAGAGTTTTTTAAAAAAATAGTTATGAAAAATACCATGAAAATATCTTGCTTAAAATTAATTTGACCTATAAAACCAAGAAGTTTTAAACATTATTACCTTGTAAATTAAGGCACAAATATTTATATTCCTTTATCACCTTTGCTTTATCAGCATCTTAAGATTCAGTCTTGAAACATGGCCACAGATATTGATACGTACTCAGCTGTTCCCTGTTGATTTGAAATTCTCTCAAAAACACAAGGTAGTGCTAGAAAATCCTTGGCAAGTTTTCATAGCACAAATCACTCAACGTTTTGTAAGACAGGTTTGGCCTCCCAATAAATGGAGTCATATTTTATTACTGTGTCAGAAGAAGTATTTCTTAAGCATTTTCGGTTTGGGTAAGCAGACAGAAATGAAGACCGTATCTCTTTTTTCTTATATTTAAAATGTATAAATACATATGCCATTGCTTTTCTCCTTTAATCCTTAGGGATAGATTTTTAATGCTATTTTGACACCCAAATGCCTTTGAAAATCTGGCCTTACAGCCCTCAAGGTAAGCATCACAAGGGTCTTGAACAGAAACAAAGCCCATTCAACCTCCATACTCACTTCCAAACAGGAGCCCACCACCTGCCTTTCCAGTTGTTCCTACTATCTAAGTCTTCCCCAGAAGGATGCTGTTCTAACAGGTCTGCTCTCATGTTGCCAGACTCAGGCTCTAATTCCCTCCGTTTCCTGCCTGCCTTCCATATGTACACTGCCTTGTAGCATTAAGTTGATTTGGAAACTGGCATTGGGAGGAACTTAGGCAGTTAAGAAGAGCAGGCCAGAAAATGAACAAGGTTACTGGAAGGGGGAGGCACAGCCAGGTGAGAGCTGCAACAGATCAGAGTCTTGACTCAGCCCCACCTTCTAGCAGCCAAAACTATCTAACTTCTAAGTACAAACACTTGAAAGTGGCCTCTGTTCCAATCCCATGACGTTAAATAGTTGGGGATTATCCAGTGTGTCAAAGGTTAAAAATTAACCAATTTAGGTTTTTTAAATAAATATTAGACTTATGAAACAAAAAATACTTGTTTTAGGGTTTTTTTTTTAAATTATTGACATGCAGACAAATGATTTGTGTGTGCTGACAGATAATCTAGTTTAAGTTTAGCAGTGGTGACATCAGCTGAGGCTGAGATAAGCCAACATACTAACACTGCAGAAGATGAGAGATGATCAGAGCTGCTGTGTTGTCACTGCAGGTTAGTCGTTCCTCTGCCAAGTCTCTCTTGATTTGTAGTGCAAACAGATACCTAAAAAGGAAGAGTGAAGAGTACAAATTGTTTGACGAGCCACAGACAACTCCTCACCTCAGCATAACTTACACAATAAACAGCTTCTAAAAATATTTTTCAAAAAGGTACATAAAATTAAAAAAGAAGTAGATAACTTAGCTACTTCAAATCCCTAACCAATCTGGCCAGATAATACAATTTAAGTGTGATGGTGTCAACTGCCATGGGGAAATCAAATGAACAGGCAAAGCTGAGGTCTTTGAAAAGCATGCCTCACTACAAAGCAGATTTTAGAAATTTTTTTCCAACCTCAGGATTAGATCTTGATTATGGTTCAGAGGGTTTCATCAGCCCACACAGTGGAGGAGGTGCATAGCTGTTAATATCTTATCAGAAAATGCGACGAGGAGTCCTGTGGCACCTTATAGACTAACTGAAGTGTAGGAGCATAAGCCTTCGTGGGCAAAGACCACATCTTTGCATCTGACAAAGTGGGTCTTTGCCCATGAAGGCTTATGCTCCTACACTTCAGTTAGTCTATAAGGTGCCACAGGACTCCTCGTCGCATTTTCTGATAAGATATTAAGAAAATGTGACAGGTTCAGGCCAGATGGCAATAAGAAAGTAACAGAAAGCAGGTATAGTAGCCCCAGGCTAACAATGTTCCTGTTTCCTTGGCTACCAAACAAGAGTTAAATAAGACACCTGGAAGCAATCGACAACCTGTTAGAATCAGGTGATGCGATTTAATTAAGTCACCAGGAGGCAATCTAGAACCTCCCTAGAAGCAGTGGAGACCCTTAGGTTTGATTGGGACACCTGGAGCTAATCAAGGACCAGCTGGAACTGGTTAATCAGTTAAAGGGCACACCAGGAGCAGTGGGAGGAGGATGCATGTCCGGGAGCAGGAACAGTAAATTCATTGTTAAGTATCAAGAGGAGCCAAAGGGCAATGAGAGCCTTGCCTGGAGAACAGCCCCTTTGGGTCCCAAAATATAACTGCTACTAGAGGGGGAGAGATTGAGTTAAGAAATCTAGTTTGTTGCCTTCACATCCAGAGAGGCCACTAGAGATTAAGAAACTTTTCCTCTCTTTTTCCCCCATTATGCCAAGGATGACTGTGGCTAAATCAGACTATAACTTGCACCTGAAGTAAAGTGATGAAACTGAGAACTGTAGTTAGCCACTGAGGTGAGCAGTTTAAGACCAGGAGTTGCCATTTTCAGACGGCTAATACTCAGCTTACCACTACCCAAAGTGCAGTACCCACTATGTGAAATCAAAAGGAGAGGAGGGAAAAAAATCAAAGGGAAGAGAGGAAGAGGAGAAGGCAGAGGTGGTGAGATCTGTAAAGAGGTGGGAATAATCAGGAAGGAGAGATGGAGCCAGTTGGAGGAGGAGGAAGACAGCTGCTAGGAGGCTGAAGAAAGGTGTGGTGAGAGCCATGAGTGATGTATAAGATTGCTATGATACTAGGAAAGATCTGTTGCAGGAAGATCTCAAATCACACTACCTGTTGATGATGATGGGACAGCAGCAGGGTACATTTACAGATAGCAACATGCTTACAATATAAATTATTTACCAATTGTTTAAAAAATGGGTAAGTAAAATACGAAATATGGCAATAATCAGGGCTTGCCAAGCGGCGGCGAGCCCCGCTTGCTAGCCATGCGGTTTGGCACGCTGCACATGCACCAATTGCGCTGCGGCACCATGATGGCTTAAAATCTACTCACCCCGGGCAAGTAGATTGACTAATTTGTTGAGCCCTGGCAATAATCATAACAATAGAAGTGGTCACAGATGAACTCTACTAACCTATTGAACTCTTACAATTTTCCAATTAGCCATTTACTAAAACATTTATTGATCACTTAATCCTTCTAGAAACATTTATAAATTCACAATATTTATAGAAGAAATGGTCAACTTCCTCTTTCTATGGTAACACACTGATACGTTTGGGAGGCAGAAAATGCCCTGTACCATTATCTATTCATGCAAACCTTGACTACTTTTCTAGCTACAAGCATCATCCAATAAAAATGCTCTCCCACCTACCCTAAGAGCTAACCTTTATTTTTGTAACAGGGAAAATATCCTCTTTGGTGAGCTTATTTCTATATTCCTTTTATTTACATATTTTAACAACTAATGAACACTAATTACTTGGAACAATTTTTACCTGGTATATTCCTCTTGCAGCTGACCAGGGTCAGGAGGAAAAAACTTTACAGCTAGACGAAGCATTGTATTCTTTGGTCCTATGGCAAAATTAATTATACAACCATAAATATCTCTATACCAACATTTGCATTAAGTAAGTTTAGACAGTGTATGGACATCTCATGTGCAAAACAGCTACAATATTAGTCTTTTATTCTGAAAAAACTTCTAGAATGTTTTATGGATGGAGGAATGCGCCAGCCCCTGGTTCCTGAGCTGCAGGAAGTAGTTGAGAATGATGCATGCTCAGGTGAGCTACCAATCTTATCTGGAAACAGTAAGCTCTTGGAATGTACTAAGGATAACTTTGTGTGTTTGGCACCAGGGGAACAGACACTTTGATTAAGAGGAACTGGTAGAAAATTTAAAAGTGAAAGGCAATTTGGGTGAAAGGGATCCTGAAGTGATCCTAGCAAAAGGATGCAGCAAGAGCAGCAAAATAAGAACAATGGACTTAAAAATAAAACTCCAGACTTGAACAAACTCAGAGAACTTGTAGATAAGGTCTCATCTGAGGAAAATCTGAAGGACAAAGACATTGAGGAGAGTTTCTCAAGACAACAATAATACATGCACAACCGATTCCAATGCAAAGGAAAAAAGATAGGAGGACCAGTAACAGGCCAATATTGCTTCAACAGAAATTGTGAGAGTCAAAAAGGAATCCCACAATAGTGGAAACATATAAATTGTGGAGTATAAAAGAACAACACAAGCACACAGGGACAAAATCAGAAAAACTAAGGCACACAAACTTTTACCTAGAAAGGGACACAGAAGGCAGTTAAAAGAGGTTCTTCAGGAGCTCAGATGTGAAACTGTACAATTACTAACTATTGTATTCAACTTATCACACCAGCTTCTGTACCAAATGATTGGAGTACAGCTAACACTGACACCAATATTTTAAAAATGCTCCAGAGGTGATGCCGGCAATTACTGGTAAGCTTAACTTCAGTACCAGGCAAACGTATTGAAACTATAATAAAGAACAGAATTGTCATATAAAAAGATGAACATGATTTTTTGGGGAAGATTTTGTAAAGCGAAATCAGGACTCAACAATCTACTAGAACTCTTAGAGGGATTCAACAAGCATATGGATACGGGTGTTCTAGGACAGCAGTTTTCAACTGCTGGTCTGCAGACTGGTGCCAGGCCATAGAGGCTCTGGGGGCCAGAGCTGAGGAACCCCAGCCAGCAGCTCCCCTC